CTATATAAGTGTAAGCAATTATTATTATAATTATAATAATTAACATCCTGAAACAGAAGGGCTGCGGGCGTCCCAGCTCCCGACAACTCACTGAGAATCCCAGCACGGAATGACAGTCCCAGATACTAGACTCCTATTCCACAGCAGCTGAAGCCGTTCCAGCTTTTACCTGCTGCTGGCTTTTACACACAATCCCACACCTGGTGCTAGATAATTGCTACCTTGTCTTGTGTAATTATGCGCCGGCAGATGTAAAGTTCGCACGTTTGCTTCTCTGCCTCTCTAGTTAAAAGGTCATGAGAGCCTGCTGCTTGTAAATGTGAAACAGATCAGACCTGCTACGCAATGGGATTCTAGCCTTCTTGCAGAAAGCAGCGCCTGAGTTCTTCACACAGTGCTGGTTCCTCCAGACCATCTTTCCATTTAATATTTCAGATCTCGGTTTTATAAAGTGTTTGTCTGGGGCTGGTGATCTTCAGCCAGAAATCCACAAATAGGAATAACTTAAGCAGAGTTTTTTTTTTCCTGAGATAAAACCGATGAAGGAAAAAAAAATGGGGTGAAGATTTCTTTTCGGCATGCCGGGGATATTTATGGAGCCCTGGGTGCTGTTAAAACATCTGTAACACACATGGATTCTGCAGATTGCTTATTACAAGGAGCACCACGTCATTTGCTTTGCAATAATATAGTTATCATTGGTCAAACAGAACAAAAGGGCAATAACGCATTCAGAGAATAATAAATCCAGTTATTTTCCAGATAGGTAGACAGCTTCTTTTTTCTTTTTAATAAAACCATTCATGAGTCAACACCAATCTACCTTTGTATGGGAATAACAGCTTTTTTTTCTCCCTCTCTCTCACCAGCACTTTAGAATTATAGACTTATTGTAATACCTATGCAAAGTGTATTGCCTTTTATGAGTCCTGGGCATGTGGCACAAAGGTAAATTTAGCTCTTTCAATGGGTTGAAAAGAAGCAATCTTTTACATGACAAATCCAACATTACCATGTGTAAACCTCATTTATAATGCAATAGCACGCCGTTTCCAGCTCATTAACTGATGGAAACCCACGTGCAAATTTCAGGGGGGGACTGCAGATTCACAGATTCGCATCTATAGGAAAGTACAGCAACCCACCCCCGCCTCCTCCCTAACACACACACACACCCTTACACCTCTGAGCTGCTTCAGAGTAATTCAGAAAATGGTTCAAGGCTGAACATCCATCCATTTGCTAATCTCTTTATCCAACACAAGGTCACGGGGGAACTGGAGCCTATCCCAGCCAGCAACGGGTACAAGACACAGACACAGCACACACTCCAACCAGGCCCAGTGTACCCAGAGGACAGTTCACTTCCCAGTAGGTCTTTGAACCCCGGGACGAAATCAGAGCTCCCAGTGAAAACCCACGCAAACACTGGGAGAACATGCAAACTCCACACAGACAACATAATAATAATTAATAATAATTCCTTGCACTTTTCTGGACACTCCACTCAAAGCACTTTACAGATAATGGGGACTCCCCCTCCACCGATGTGCAGCCCCACCTGGGTGATGCGACAGCGGCCATAGTGCACCAGTATACTCCCCACACAGCAGCTCTCAGTGGGGAGCAGAACAGAGTGATGAAACAAATTCAGAGATGGGGATTATTAGGAGGCCATGATTGGTAAGGGCCAAAGGGAAATTTGGCCAGGACAACCAGGGTTACACCCCTACTCTTTTAGAAAAAAATGCCCTTGGATTTTCAATGTCCACAGAAAGTCAGGATGTCAATTTTACTTTTACATCTCATCCAAAGGACGGCGCCTGTTTACAGCATGGCATCCCCATCACTATACTGGGGCATTAGGACCCACACAGATCACAGGGTGAGCGCCCCCTGTTGGCCACACTAACACTTCCAGCAGCAGCCTTAGCTTTCTCAGGAGTCTCCCATCCAGGTACTGGCCAGGCTCACACCTGCTGAGCTACAGTGGGCTGCCGGTGATTGCCAGCATTGTTTCAGTGCTAAACACTGGGCTGCCCCTTTGAGCCAGAACAGTTGAATATCAATTTTAATAATCAGCACACAATAGCCCAGAGAACTGAAGAGATGTGTTCATTGAACTATTAAAATGATTATGGTCTATTGTTAAGATTCAGTATTATTAGTCATATATTTATGATACTACAGCCAATGTTTATTCAATATAATAAAAATAACAATTTAACAATAATACACTGAGCAGAAATTGAGATTTGAAATCTTGAAATCATTAAACATGTTTTATAACTTTTGTTACTGTCAGCAATGAAAACAACAATTACTGGAAACAGAAATTAAGTGGGAAATATTATTTTTTTCTCTCTTCTTTGGCGTGGGTGATGGGGACTGCCTTTCAGAGTGTAGGTCACCAGTCAGTACAATAATACCGGCCGCTGACAAACTGTTCTGAGGCTTTTTTCATGTTTTCAGATTCAATTCATTTCTATAGTTTTCTGTTTCCCATGTGCATTTTCCCTTTTTTGGGCTTTTTATTATTAAAATAAACCGTGAGGTTAAAACAGCTGCGCTTAATGTGCTTTTTGAAATGCCTGATTGCTCAGAATACCCATACTGGAGATCCCCTTGCCTCTCGCTCAGCTCTTGTGCTCTCTTAGGGTGGCTCTGTCATCTTCCCTGATTCCTCAACGACACCATGTGTACAAGGACTACCTGGACAGCCACAGAGTCTGTGAGCTTTCCTTCACACCGAGGTCACAACTGAGCACAGACGTTGCTAATTAGACTTTTTTCTTGATCAATGTCGAGGGCTAAAGAGATGAAACCCATTAACTGTTATTTAAGCAAACGATTAATTCAATTAAGCGTTCAATGAAGTGATGGAGCTCACTAGATTTTTATTGAACACGTCAGCTTAAATAAATGTTCCAAAACCTGTAGTCACCCAGAACAAGGTTGGAAAGCCCCAATCTATACTGTGTACACAGTACAAAACCGCACACATCCATGCCAAAACCATAAGGACTGCGCTGTCCCGTTGGTTTCACTCAGTGTTCTTCCTCATGTATTCAAATCTCATGTAGGACACTGTGTACACGTTTGGTCACCGCATTATAAAAGACACATTGCTGCTGTGAAATCAGTCCAGAGATGAGTGATCAGACGAATTCCAGGGCTCAAAGGAATGTTTCACACTGACAGGCTGGAAGAACTGAACTTTTTTTATTGCCGCACAGAGAAGCCTGCTTGTGAGGGGACCTTGCACAAGTATTCAAAACCCCTCCAAAGCCCTGACAGAGTCAACACCACGGACGTTCCTCAGAGTGAACAGTGAAGCACAAACCACATGACACAGGTACAGGAAACTACAGGGAGGAGACGCTGCTTTACACAGAGGGGTGTGGGAGTCTGGCACAAGCTGCCCCACGGTGTCGCTGAAGTCGATACCCTGGCTTCCTGTAAGAAATCACCCCCTCTGATTGGGTAGCTACTATCAACCAATCAGTTTGCAAGCATTCTGAAGCTTGTGACTTCCTCGTCTCAAAACCTGACGGAAAACGCGCCGAGTCGCAGGGGCTCTGGCTGGCCGTGTGACAGCAGGGCTGCCGCGGTGATCATGCACCCGAGCGTCAGCTTCCTGAGCAGCCCAGGCTGAGAGTGAGAAGGACGGTCCCGGTCCATGCTCCCACACAGCCTGCTGCCCCAAGTCGAAGAGAACCCCCCCCACCCCCCCACCATCACCTATTGTGCTCCGGTACAAGGAAGGCTGCATTTGGGGATGGGCTGCCCCCCCTCCAAAAAAAAGCAGGAGTCACAGCAAATTCCACTAAATCTTCGCCTCTAGGTGCAGTCTCCTCTTCTCCAGTTAGAAGATTACCTGCAGCTCAGGAAAATCTCATAAAGGAGGCCTCCTCACACAGAGCCGGCTCTCTGATTAAGGTCTGCAGCCAGTCTATACTCTGTGCCAGATAAGACCAGATGAAAGGGAACTCGGGGAATTATGTCTCTTTCCCTCGTTCCGCCTTTTTTTTTTCCCCTCCAGGAATTCCATTTTCCCCCCGGAACACGTCAAGGGTTCCGCCAGCCTCAGACTGTGGCTCAGTCCCACCCGGCTGGGCGGAGGGAGTGGAGGGGGAGGGCGGAGGGACGGCTTCTTAAAAAATAAAAAGACTTACCACGCCGTAATGAACCAGCTGTGCGCAGTCCAGGCCGGCCAGGGCATGCGTCACCCTCCACACTCCTGCCGCTGGTGAACCTGACAAAGGAAGGATCCGGTCGGAGCTCTCCCTGCGGGTGAAAACGACGTAGAACAGGCACAGATTAGGCAGACGAGGAGAGGAAACGAAAAGCACAACACACATATGACCATTTTTTTGGGTAAAAGTCTAGTTCACGGTAAGTCAAAGCCAAATGGTGCTGCCTGTGATTCCCCTGTCAGGGTTCGTGTTATCTTACCTAAGATTATTGGTGATTTCCTCTGTAAAAATCAGTAAAATCTCCCACCCCCCCACCTCGTCCTTGTGTAGCCAAGTGCAGACAAGGCTGTTTCTAGAAGCATTTCTGTCTTCATCTTTCAACCCGTCTCTGAAAGGCTGGCGGAACGCGGAACCTGACGCAGGGCTGTGGAAGAGGGGCTGCTGGGAAGCTCTGGCCTCCGTGTGAACCCTGGCAGGTGGGCGGAGGCTGTGTGCCCAGGAGCGGCGAGCTGGCACAGGGGTCAGTGCCCTGCGGCCCTGGGCTGACGCTGGCCCCTGTGCTTCTGCTCCCACGCTGGGAGGGCCAAGGCGCTTGTCAGTGGCGGTTTTCCGGTTTTCTCCCTGTAATTCCTCCCACCGCGACGGCTGCCTCGGAGCTGTTAGCAACCCACAGGAAAAACCCCACCGGCCCGACCCTGCGGGCTCCGATTGACTGGCCCAGGGAGCCATTTGCAAAACTGGCCTCACCCCTCTCTGCAATCCTCTGCAATCGCAGTCGCTAGCGGACCTAGAGCCTTACAGCGGCGCTCTCTAGCCAGCCACAGGACAGCCTCTTACAAAAAAATAATTATACGCCCGGAATTAAAAGCAACAAAGTTTTCCACGGTCTGGATTTCAGAGAGGGGGGATGTCACTCTCCATGCCCCTCTACGATGGCTAACTACAGTAATAACACAAGACATACATTATCGTCTCTGCCCCTGTACCACCCCAAGGGTATGGCCCTCCCTCACTTGCAATCTTGTTTGACACCCAGCTTTATTCCACAGAGCTAAAACTTTTGTGCTCATCTAGTGAATCTGCCCAGTCCCTGCTGTAAGAGCACCACACCATCAAGCCTTTGTGCTGATATGCAAATCCTCACAAAGACGTATCATATGCACGCAAGACTTGCGTATGCGCAATACCCTGATGATATTATTCGGATATCACACACAGTAAAAGCACAAGCGTGGTAAGATTAACAAGAAATAACAGACAAAGCTGCTCTTGCCATGTTTCCATTTTTCTCTGCAAATTGGAGCTACAGAGCTTCTCACCCGGTCCTCTTGTGATTTAATTAATTGAATGATTGCACACACACACACATACATATGGATGTGTTTCGTCTGCTGTAAGGGAGACTACAACTCTCCCGTCTCTGGCCCTTGGTCTGGATGCTCCATTCAGACCTGTGACACCCTCACCGCAGGAGGTGAATCATGGAACAGGAAGGAACTCTGGCACAAAATCGCCATGGAAACCATGGCTGGGACACCCTGAGCCAGTGGGTACTGGAATGGGTGAGTGCTGCTCCTACCTCGCGGTTACCAAGGGAACAAAACAAGAGGGCTAATGTCACAGCCACGCTGCATGACTGCACATATAAACACAGGTAACGCCAGCGAGGAAACACAGCCCCACTGACGGCAGCGAAGCACAGGGGGTAGGAGTCTGGAATCCGGGTTTTCTCATCTCTGATGTAACAGAAATAGAAGCATCTGATTTATTTTAAGAGTTTGTTCAAAAGGAAGGCTGAGCTAGCTCACAAAGAAGGCAACGCCTGAAAAAATAAGAGATTGCTCGTTTTTAGCACCCCGGCAAAAGGCTGATTGACAAGAAGGAGCATATGGAGTCGAAGATGAATCTAGCCCACATTTAGATCTAAGGAAACAAATATTTGCCTGAAGGGAAAAATATTAATTAGTTTGCCTACACACAAGAAGATAAAAGTCTGCGAGACATATCCATCAAAAGGCAGCGAAGTAACCAGTAAAATGGAAATTATTCGTAAATTGACAGTATCCAAACTTGGCAAACACTGAGGGGGTAAACAAGTTATTTGGCATGCAAAGCACTCAGAAATCACAGGCTCTGTCGGAAGGCATCTGTGCGTGCATTCAGTTATTCTGACAGAAATTAACATTTTGCGCGAATCTTTCTCGCATGATAAAGATTTCTTTAGCCTCCCTAATTATTTTTTAATTACCATCTTAGGTTGCTCTCTACAAACATTAGAAAGACAAATTAAAAACATTAAAGTGTTACAGTGAATGTATGTGGCACGTCCCCACCTCTCTATCAATTAAAGGTGGTGCTGGTGGGGAGTGGGCTCATTGAATTCAGGCTTCTGCCACCCCAAAACACACTCTATTGCTAATAATAATGGTTAATAATAGTAATATTACCACTACTGCTAATAATAATAAAACAACAACAACAACAATAATAATGTATTATTATTATTATTATTATTATTATTATTATTATTATTATATACTGAATAATAATCACCTTCATCATTCTCAAGGTAGTTAGGGAAGGTGATGTGCACATCGATGGATGCTATTCACTCTTATACAATAGAGTTTCCAGGCTATATCGGCTCAGCAAGCCTCAGATAATAATGGATCAATAAATGCTCAGACAAGGTGTTCTGCATTTATAGCTTGTGTCACTGTGTCTGAGCCCTCACCCTCCACTAACAGTTTCTACATCACCTTGCTTCGCTACACCTGAAGCCTCAGACCTGATTGCGTTCCTTTATCTTTGATCTAAAGACCTGGAATAGGCAGACACTTGGGCTGAGAACTGATTCCACAGGGTGCAGAACAGTACACTGGACATGACTCGCACTCTCCATGCTCCTGCGAATGGCGGCAGTGGCCATACTGGTCACTCACAGTCCTGGAATCACAGCGTCCCTGGGGCTCAGTGGTTCAGAGCACAGCACAGTTGTCTGCCCAAACCTCAGCACTGTCTCTGGCTTGTTGAGTGCGAATGAACTAACTACTGAACCCTTTGCACGAGGTTTCAAACCGAGCGTCTCTAGCAAGTGACTGAAGTGTCACAGAGTAGTTAGTGCAGCACTTCAATCTGGATAAAAGTCTGTGCTAAGTGACTAATTCCTTAAGCTGCATAGCTGCTTCTCACAGCTCAGGTTGTGCAGTAAGTCCCCCCTGTTGGTTCTTAGATGCCTTCATGTTGCTGTTAAATGACACCTCTGTGGTCTGTGACAAACAAATGTAAAAGGCGAGGGAATTGAGTCGGGTCTTGAGCCATTCAGACTTCACGAGAGCCCTTTTCTCTGCCTGCGGCCGCCCAGTGGCCTCCAGAGGTGAAGCCCTGTGCATCTCCAAGAGATGCCGATTCCGATTGCCGAAGCTCGTTGCTTCTAGGAAAATGGGGACTCATTTCCGAAACAGAATGATAACCGGCTTAATGCTATATAGCACCTTTTACGGCAGAAACAAAAATCGAAACAAAAACAAACAACGAGCAAGGACATGGAAACATAAAATATTGTTATCAGACCTGAGTGAAAATCCTGGCAACACAAAATAAACAGGATGAGTTAGATGATGAATAAAGAGGACTCGGATAAGCTATTTTCAAAACATTTTTTACAAATCATATTCGCTTCCACATGCAATAAAAAGGCTCTGTCTGAAAACAAACAGATGCACAGCTATGACTAATGTACACCCTGTCACCTACTTGTATTGCTTTCCGATAAATTTATTAAATTACACAGATTTTATTATTTACTTATTATTTCCAGTCTGACCACCTGGGACTCAACACACACCCCATTCCCAACTGATTCAATGATACATCCAAGAGCTTTAATTCCTCTCACTCCTTTACTACAGAGCAGATTTCTAAGCTAGCAGCAGGGAGGAGAGGGTGTGGGGTGTACCAGGGTTTTACAGTTAAAGACAGCCCCTCTCATCTCCGCGGTGTTTACGAAGGCAAACAGCTCACATCCACTCGCCCCCTGGAATATAACGGGAGGAGCTGCTGCTTTTCAGCAGGAGAGCTGTGCTCCCCTTGTCTCTCTCCCTGTCAGAGCCTCGCGCTGGTTGTGTGACCAGTTCAGAGGAGCCTGCAGTGCGGTCTCTCCCTCACACGCACACAGCGATGAGGAGGGCAGGCTCAGACACACTCTCCCTGACTCAGGACCTGCGCCTGACCCATCTCAGCCTCTCTCTGTGGGCCAGTGCCACAATAGGGCATATTTTTATGGGCTGTGGGAGGCTGGAAAAAAACTACGTAGCTATGTTGTTGAAGTCAGTACCCTGGTTTCTTACAAAAAGAGCTGGATGAGATCTTTGGATCAATTAGCTACTAACTGCTAAGTGGGCTGGATGCGCCAACACGACCTCCTGTTTTATATAACCTCTCTTATGCACTTTTCTATTATTTATTAAATTAAGGTGACAGGAGGCCAGCAGCTCTTTCTCACTGCTGGACTGGGCCCTTTCCTTTCCATTTGTAAAATGTCTCCTCCCTTTCAAAATCAGTCTCCTTAAGACCCCCTTTGCCCAGAATATTCCCGCTGGCCCATACTGGGAGAGGACAAGACTGCCACTGGCTACCCTTCACGACCTGGGCTCAGGCAGCCTTGTGTGGCCATGCTGACCATGCTGAGGGTCAAAGCAGCGGAATACTGCTGGAAGGAAGACAGGTGCTTCCCACCTCCACTGAATGCATTAAAGTGGATGGAGAGGCTAAATCCATTAGAAGGGTTTCAGACAATAGGAGGGCATTCAGCCCATGTAACTGGTTTCGTTTTTTAACTGCTGGAGGCCTGTGGCTCTTGCAGTTCTGGTCTGCTGACTAACTAATCAACCAGTCAGCTCAAGCTACAAAATGGTTTTCAAACGCTTCCCTCTTCAGAGTAAAGTAAGCTCAGTATTCCTGACTAGAGACCACAAGACGTCAATTAAAAGCAAAGGAAAATTGTGTCCGTGTGCATTAAGGAGAAAATGGGTTACTTTTTAACTGTCTGGCTGTCCCTGCAGGACAGGAGATTATTTCAGCAGTGGGGGGAACTCGCTAAAATAAAACTTTAAAACCCCTGAGAGAAGAGGAAGAGATTTTACCACTGGGGAATGAGTATTCATGGGATTTCGCTTAAGCTGCCAGAGAGAGAAAAAGGCTGCACTGTCATGTATCATTAAGTAGTTCTTAATAAAAGTAATTAAGTTTTAATTTTGGATTGAGTACAGCTGTAAGTATATTAGGAATATTGATTGTT